TGCCTGGAGCACCAGAAAGATTCCATAAGTGGTGGGTGTATCTATAAAATCTATATATATCTATAAACTCTCCTAACATGCATTCCTATTACCCTAATGATCAGCATTGTAACATTTGGAATATATTCATGGGCACTGCTTACTATAGCCACTTCATAAATGTACTAAATTCCCAGAGATCAGACATGATGTCTCCTATTTTCCCTATGTTTTCAAAAATGCCCAGCACATAGTGGTTCTACAAACAAATGTTAATTAATATATTTACTGAACTTAACTTATTTATATCCTATTTTTATGCCTCTGTCTCCTAATGTTTCTGTAACTTTCCCATATATAACAAAACATGGGGCTCTACTTTTCTAAACATTAATTATCCAAAATCTTACAATTAATTATCCACAATCTTACTAGTCATGTCTGAAGGCACTGTTTATGTTTTCAAGTATAGTTTGCTTGTTTCTTTTTTGTTTTTCGCATATAATGAAGTTAATAATTAGAGATATTAAATGATCTTCCAACTAAAAATTACACACATAGCTGGTGGCTTCACCTTATTAAATAAAAACTGCTTTTGTTGAACAAAATGAAACATTAGGAATTAAACATGAAAATATCATCTGTTAAAACAGGTGTATATATTTTTCCAATGTCTACAGTAAGAATGTAATAATCCCATTTACTTTTATTGTAAGGGAATAAAAAAGTCTTGCTTCCCTAGAGTTAAAAGTACTTTAACAGAAATGAACTCATTTAATTTCACTGACTCCTTGGGAAAAAATTTGGAGAACATATTAACTCTATGTTATAAATAAAGATACCTGAAGTGAAAGGACTAAAGACTGTTCAGTATAATATCAGTGTGTGTTCAGTATAATCAGTATAATCCCCTCATGTTGAAGCCGTATCTGCCCATTGGACAGTATTTCAGATTTATAAACAAAGCCTGATATAAAATACTTTTTAGATTTAAAAAACTGTATTTACATCTTCCAACACAGTTCTGAAGCTGATCAGAAGAACAGACAAAAGAAGGAAAGCAAGAAGAAAAATCTGGACAGCTTCACATTTAAATGATCTTGTTTCAGTGAACCATATGACTACAAAGCATCAGAGAGCAAAAACTGGAATTTTCTTTCCACAAGCTGGAATAGTAACTGTTTATTTCCTCAGGATCACTTTTAAATTATTGTAGAGTCACAAGGAGTATAAAAGATGAGAACCACTGCTCAAATCCCACAGTCCCCAAGGGCAAGTCCACGTAACCAGCAAATCTCTCCTCTGAGAAGCATTTAGCTGTTGTATGGTTAATCCATTTAGAACACCTTGTTCGCAATGAAGGAACAAAAGAGATTTGCTGTAAAATCTTCTGCTTCTACTCCCAAGAAGACAACAGTAGATTAGGTGACCACAGAGACTGCCTGGAAACGTCCAGGCTGTGGTGTTTCTGATTCATGTCTTCAGTAAAGTAGGAAGCTGATTTCGAGTGATGTGGCTCATGCTTCAGCAATGTCCTGCTCGGGACAGACGGGCCATATGGAAACTATGAACTGGCTTCATGATGGGACCATGAGGAGCCAACAGCATCTTTGTGCTTTCTGTTTCTATTCAAAGGGTCCAGTGAACATTCGATTATCATACAATCTGGCCTATTATGTGACTTTGTTTAAATTCTGAGTAGCTGTTATTTTTAATGGTATAGATAACTTTAACATGGGACATTTTTCCTTTTTTCCTTTTAGAAAAACATACTTTCATTTAATGAAAAAAGCCTAAACTATTTTAGATATTAAATGCACTATAATTCTTCCTTCAAGGTACTAAGTTATTTTGATGCAGTCACAAAATCATGGTCCAAGAAAGAGGAAAGAAGCCAGGCATGGTGGTACATGTCTGTAACCCTAGTACTCTGGAGGCTGAGGCAGGAAGACTGCTGTGAGTTTGGGGCCAGCCTTGGCTATATACTGAGTTTAGGGTCAGTCTGAACTATATAGCAAGACCCTGTCTCCAACAAACAAACAAAGAAACCAAAAAACCTGACACCATAAAAAGAGGATGACACTGTCAAAATCATAGATATTAAAGATTTTCTAAAAAGATCCAATAATTATTTAAAATGTTTTCCTAAAGTATTCTAGGTACAACACAAGAACAGAAGGAAGAAAAGAGAGGCATTGAAGGAAAAGAAAAAAGAAGATGAAAGGAAGGAAGAGGAGAGGGGAAGGGAGGGGAGGGGAGGGAAGGGAAGGAAGAAGGATGCAATTTTCTGAGAACCAGAAGGCAACCATGATTCACTACATGATTCAATTTCTGGGATGCAGAGTATTCATGGTTTGTTACTTTAATATTTTTTAGAGAAGTAACAAACAGGAAAAATATTTTAAAAAAACAAGTACTTTTCTGGATCGGGCTCAAAATTTAGTGAGAAACTCTGTGGGTGAAGAAAACTTACAGTTGTTGGCACAACGCCAACATGGACACAGGAGCGGCACTCAGGTACCTGCTGCATGTGGGACGGACGGCTACAGAGAAGCTGAAATTGGTATGTGGAGATGAGCGCGCTGTGCCTTGGAGGTACTCACAAACTATCACATGTGTTTACTCAGCCCATAAATCCTTGCAAAGGATATGATGAAAAATGATCATATTTCATTATTATCATTAAAATACAGTAGTCTCAGATGCTTTCCTAGAGAAATAAAAATGCGAGACATAGACAATAGGGGAATGATTGTTTTAACGGGGGAAGAATTTAAGGACCTATAATTTAACTGTTTTTCAAGGAGATTTATTGAAACACAATTACATTGTATGTCTAAGATTAGGAAAGAATAACAAGATTTCCTTATGCACTAAATGAAGCTCGTATTTTACAGATTATAACCACTGGCTTGTTATAGTTTTCACTTTGATCACAGAAAATTCTAGAAGAAACTACAAAACGTGTTCATTCCAATTCCTTTTGATCAATCTGGGATTTGTGCTGTATTCATACCGTGTCAGCAGAACTGAAGAGTAAATGGACAGATTTTTATTTTGATGTAGGCACATAAATTTGAGTAATTTTAATGATCAAAAAGTGAACCTCTAAATTATAGTTTTTTTTCACATATGTAGCCATGTGAGAAGTTTGTATCTGAAAGGAATAACCTTTTCTGCATGTTGTTTCATTTTTATCCTGCCTTTAAGTGTTTACAAGATGTTGACTTATAACTATTCCCTGTACCCATGAAAGAGACATTTAGTAATGGAGATTAGAATTCCCCACTTCCGATTCCCTGCCTTTTAGTTACTCTAACAGGCTCTATTTGCTTTTGTAAATTGTCTGTCTTCACTGGTAAAACCAGCTGAACAGCTACCACCACATGTCCTCCCTTGGCACAGCCTCTCTTCTTTAAAATGAAGGGCTTTCAAGGGTAATAAGGAGCAGTTAGGGAACAGATTTGTTCATAGTCTCACACTGCCTCAAGGCGCAGTACAGACAAGCCCTTTCGGACAGCTCAGAGGGCGGCAAACACACTGCCTCCCCAACCACATGTTTGGTGGCTGTTAGATTCCAAAACATGTTTTTTAAGATGTATTTCATTACTGATAAATATAAGGCTTTCTAAAAGTTGGTGAACTATTTACACTGTTAGGGCCGGGGATTTAATTCAGTGGCATAAGTGCCTGCCTGGCAAGCAAGAGGTTGTGAGCTCGATCCCTGATACCAAAACAAAACAACAACAACAAAAATATTTACACTGTTTATATAGCATAAAGGGAAATGGCCTTGTTACCTATATCTTGTGCCTTTCCCATTCTGCCAATTGCTGTTTTTAGTAGATCCACTCTCTCCCTAACCTTTAAATCACAGGCTAATACTCGAGGGCAAGAAAAAGATTTTAAAATTTTCTTTCTTTAAGACAGGCTTTGCTACTTTTAGAACAATGTACTCATTGCGTGTTTCCAATTATGGATTGCCTGTAAAACATGTTAGATGTTCTACATTACATTTTTTCCAAGGAATGCTTTTAAAATACCTTTCTATGGGACATAGCACTGGCACACAGAAAAATAACTAAATAACTATTTTCATAATTTCACTAAGATATAAAATACCTTTTACTATTATCAAATAATGAGTCCACATACTGCACATAAAGAATAAATATTAACAGGAGGCTTAAAACGCATGCCACAATAAAGGGGTATTTTAATGAGTCCTATTAATTTTTACCATAAAGCTTAAATATTTAATGTGCTTATAGTAGCACTGTTGTGTGGAACGTGAAGAAATAGAATACATTTGGTACTTTTAAAGGTGAATCCACTCCTCCAGTTCACTGGAAAGAAAGAGCCCAATCTAAGTCTATTTAAAGATAACAGTAGTACATGAAAGAATATTGCCTGCTACAGAGAATAGTGTTACACACACGATACTGCATTTTGGAACCCATGCATTTTTTTTTCTTTTCCTACTAGCAATTTCAACCTGAAGTTCATTTTGAAAAGTACTCGTGGAACAGTAAGATAATCCAAAGTGTGAAAGATGTATGAATAAGGACTCTTCTGCCATTCTGCTGCTTTAGGTTTTCTAATTCATTTTGAACATGAACACTGGGGTTAGGTAGCAACATTTGTTTTTAGTTCAATTAATCCATTGAAATAGAGAATATGGATATGAAAATTATAGCCCTCCATGAGATTTGCATATGTCTTCAGAGTAACAACGAGAAAACCATGAAGAAAACAATATCATAAATATGAAGCCAAAAATAAATTCCAAAACAAAAGATAAAAACCCCACACACATTGAAAAGAGCAAAAACAATTCTGGATACAAGAGAGGAGATGACAAATGGCATGAACTTTTCAAAACACTCTACAAATAAAACAGCATTATTCAACAGGATGCAACAGAATTGGAAAAAGAAGCAACAAATCCACATGATGAGACACAGAATCATCCAAGAGAAGCAGTTATGGATATAAGCCAGAGAGGGGATTTCTGTTCTTACTTGCACAAGTATCTTGAGGGGTTTGAAAGGTCTTTCACCATGAAACACTCGCCACCATTCACACAGAATGTTTTCTCCTTCTCCGCACACTTCACGAGATGGCTTGTCCCAGTGGTAGATGTAGATGTAGCTGCATGGGAGATAAGAAGACGAGATGTTCAATCTGTCTCTGACACATTTGAAACAGCCTCTACTCTAAAATTCTCTTAAAAAGCAAGAGTTCCTATGAGGTATAACCAACTTTCTTGACAAATAATAGCAAAGAAACTATTTTGTGACTGTAATATATAGAGTACAATTAGTTAACAGAACATGATTAGTAGAATACAAGTAAATACAGAATCAATTCCAACTAAATAAGAAAAGGGACTCGAGGTTTTTATAGTCATTGTTTTATCTTTAAAGTAGCTGCAAAAGAGAAGCTGTCTTGTCATTAAGCACAATCAATTTTAAGGAAGGTTCAAAGATAATGGTGTCAAGTCATGTCACTGAAGTTCCATAAAATATATATACACATATGTGTGTGTACAAATGATGTTTTATGTGTACATTGACTGTTTTTTCTTTTCGAAGCCCTGAGGACTGCGAAAACCCTGAAAACAGGGTTTGTGCATGCTAAGCAAGCCTTCTATGGTTGCTCAACATCTCCAGCCTTAATTACATCTTTAAGACAACGTATAGTCAAAAAACAAAAGCCACACAAGGATACCAGACAGTGTATGTGTTCCAAATGAAAAAATTATGTAGTATTAATTGAACACACACTGACACGGAAGTCATAAGTCACTCACTTTACAATTTCTGTTCTCTAATTCTACTCCGCAGTTCACTGTGGAATATTTGACAACCTATTTTTAGGAACTGAAAACCTACTTTTAGGAAGTGAAAAGGCACTCTACTACAAATGCAGGATAAAGCACCACAAAAGTCATCTATCTTGAACCAGGAGAATAGAAACAAGCCTTCATTTCGGTTTCCAGCATTTCATGTGATGTCCTGACATCCACAGGCCTGTGGAAGTGAAGCTGGTGATGACCCCAGTAGCACTGACTCCCAGGTAAGTGAAGCCCAGGCTCCCTCCTCAGGCTCAAAGGGCTTTGGGGAGCAGAACCACCTCTCCTCACTCCCACTGCTGGGCACGCTGTGGGCAGTGCTTGGCCTCAACCAGAAAGTCAACTTATATAGTGTCAGCACTGATATTGCCAAGATGAGAAGCAGAACTGATTACGAAGCCAGTGAAGATTCTATTTACTTTTTCAGGGGGAAAAAAATTCCCTTTCGAGGTGCTTATGTTTCTCTTGTTTCCTGGCACATTCCTGTAGATTTTTAATGTGTTATCTTCCCTATCAATTTCTGTTTTACTATTTGCATGTGAATTTTGGATGCTTTTGTTTACTTGACCTATCATGAGCTATTGTCCCCTTGTTATTCTTTTTTATTTCCTTCAAAAGTTCACATATTCTTATAATTTTTAACTTAATTTCTTCTACTTTTCTTGATTTTCATTCTGCCGGATTGCAATACTCAACATCTGGTTATTCCGTTTCTTAATTGCGTTCTTGTTTCTTGGTCTCCTGTCTAAGACATGTGCAAGTAACATGTCACTGCTCTCAGCAGAGCATTCGGGAGTAACGGCTAAGATCAGTCCAGACATGGACCTTACAAACAGATCTGGTTCAAATCTCTTCCCCTACAAGCTTTTGCGATGAACCACCTCACTGCTCAATTTTCCCATTTAAAAAAAACAGCAGTATCACACATCTTAGAAGATTTTTTATGGAGACCATAAATCATCCAGGTAAAGGAACTGGCAAAACATGCCATTCAGTGAATAGTACCAAGTATAAATGGGAAAGGAAGGAAGGATCTTAAATTTTACGTTCAACAATCATATAAAAAGTTTGACAACAGAAATCTGGGAATTTCAAAGATACGTTCTATTCTTCAATTAAGAATGGGGTCTTTTTTTTTCTTTTTCTTGTGAAATTGGGGACTGAACCTTGGGCCTTGCACATGAGAGATAAGTAGAGAACTACTAAGCTGGAACCCCAGAATGAGGTCAAGTCTTTAATGAGTTCAACAAAATGTCCTTTATAAAATGCCTTCCAAGGTCTTTATAGGCCCGTAAACCAAACAAAGGAATGAACAGAGCTTAAAGAGAGAGGTGATTTTACTACGTGTTATCATGGATAATAAAATCAGCTTAACATGTTTATCAGAATGAAAGAAATGTAACTTGGATCTTTTGGTCTGCAAAATCATAGTAGATAATGTTCCTATATTTTATACAGCATAGAATTCAAACATATCTGTAGGTGCTGTATGTTAATATCCTCATGCACGGCAGTAGCTTGTGAAAGATATTAGGAAGAGAGTTGCCTTTACTGTGAAAAGTTTTGTGCTTAAGACACAACTGCTGACAGCATTTCCTGTATTGACAAATTTAGCTGGGTATCCTCTCTATCCCTGCGACAGCACTGAAGGGACCACATGCAGTGTCCTGTCACCAAGCCCCTGCAGAGGATGCTGAGCCACGCACAGATCCCCAGTGCTGTCTGAATCCAGGACAGCGTGCTAAGGATCTTCCTTCACCCAGCCAAGCAGAAGACACAGCATAAGCCTCTCAGAGCAAATCCTGAGCCTTTTCCAGAAAAAAACCAGGGCTCCACTACATGGGCATATACCCCACATAAATGGTAAACTGTCAACAAAACTTGGCCCTGAGATATGAGACAGATAGCTAGATCCCTTAAATGTACTTATCTTGTGTGGTTATCAAAACAACTAAGAATAATAAACACTTATTAACACGAGAAATGACTTTTCTTTTGCACCTTAAAAATATTTCTCCCTGACATGATTATTCTTTTGTAGTGCTAGCCAAAGCATGCAGATTGAACATACTCCAATGAAAAATTCTAGATTACTACTTAAGTAGTAGTGGGACATTTACTAGTAAAATATTCATTAGAGGAACCATGAAGTAGCATCTATCTCATACCACCATGGACTGTTGTACTTTGCATTTCTATTCTTCAACGGCAACAATGTAAAAAAAAAAAAATGGTGAGTTTTAACACAGCAATTAACTACCAGGTGGATGCAAAGTGGGAACTGACTGGTTACAGCTGCTCAGAACCCACAGCCAAGCACAGAATGAGCTGTAATTGTCAGAAGTCAGGCTAGAAATGATGCCATACACACACTTCAGGTTTTGGCCAGTTTCTTTTCATCTCCTTAGTTGAACACAGTGTGCTGTCAGTCAGTCCTAAGCAAGTCTATAAAATCTGCAAGATAGTCTTTCTCTTTGGCTTACACACACTGTATTGCTAAGTCAGTTTCCATTTAGTAACTCAGCCAGGAAACAATGAAACTGACAAAGCAGACCCTAAACCAATTGTGGAAATACTATTCTTTCTGGGGGAACCAAGAGGAGTTTATTAGAAGCAAAGCTGAAGACTTTGCAAGTGGGATATATTTTAACATATAAAAGCTCCCCCCACCCCATTGGTTGTTCTGGGAAGGACATGAAATAGATTTCCTTTCACTCATCCAAGCCTTGGTAAATGCTGTCTCCTTCAGCTTTGTGATCACTTTCCACAATTTGTGTTTTAAGTGCTAATAAGTAGATGGCAATGAAGCACACTGCTAAATGACTCCATCATTTCTATGTTTGACATTTATATGAATGTTTCACCTTAAAAACATTTTCCTTGGTAAGTTAGCAACCGTAGTTCTCCAAAGGAAACAAGTATAAATAAAAAGAATAAATAGGAATATAGTTTCTTACTACTAGAGAATTCATGTCAGAGTGTTTTACTCCCGAGCTGGTTTATCTTGGCAATATAGTTCAGGACAAGAGACCATGCCCTGTGGGGCTGGATAGTTCTCTAACTTAACCAACGATAAGGAGATTAAGATCACCATTCCTTTGCTTAAAAATCTTTTGTAACACACTGGGGCTCCCTTCTCTTCTTTCCTCCTTCTTCCTTCTCTTTCTAGCGTGGGTCTCTCCCTGACTCCTTATTTTCTTTCTTCTATCTTTCCTTCCCTCATCCCTCCCTTTCTTCCTTCCTTCCTGTACTGATTGTGCAATATGTGCAAGAAATAACGGTAACAACTGAAGTTACTGGAGTTGAACATTTTAAGATCACTGTCAACTCTCCCTAAAAAGCAACCTTCATATGTAAGATGTAGTGAAATGGATAGAGATCTTGCGAACAATCAAGTCTGAGTCATGCCAGTTATGAGCCATGGGACTCCTCCTCCCAGATGACCTGCCTCAGAAAATTTTGCAGTGACAATGAGATTCAGAGTAATTGCAAACTTGTTACAATGGTTTTGTCTTAACAATACTGCACATAGATGCATGATATTGTTACTATTATTAATGTCATAAGTATTGGACAAACAAAAGTGAAAAATGTTATCTCTCTAGACTCTGGTATTTTATAAGATCAAAACTCAAGTGTTATTTCTTAGGAAATCTTCAAAACAAGAAGACAGATGGCCTTGTTTTGAAGGGGAATCATTAAGTAACTGTAAAGTATTAAGTAAATAGCAGTAATGTAGCTTTACTTCATTGTAACTGCTTGTCAGTAATTTATAACCACTAAATTATGATATAACAGCATAAAATGATATTGAGAAATAGTCTGATTAAATAGAAAGAAACATGTATCTTGATGTATGATTATTTTCTATTTTCAAGATATATATAATTGTGTAATATTTCTGAGTGAACTTTCAAGTTATATGAGTTAAATGTACTTATTTTATTGGATAGAATTATAGCAGCTTACAAAGTATAAAACATTTTAACAGTGTGAAGTCCATATTATCATATGGCACATAATATAAGCTTTGCTTATAAGATAATAGTCTGGAAATCCTACTGTCATATACTTTTGTAAACATACAGTATGAAAATTTGAATGATAATTTGTTTACTGCTTATCACTAAATATTTCCCCATGGAACAGAATTTCACGATACATTATTTCCCACAGTCTGTTGGGAATCTTTTTCCTTTTGTTCTTCTTACACGAGCTAAAAATGAAAATAATGTTGAAAAGGACATTACTCTCCTGTTTCATCTCACTTTTTTGTAGTGCTGGAGATCTAATCGAG